CTCAGATTTTTGGGCTTGATTATAGTGATACTTTCTCTTCCGTGGCTAAAGTAGCATTTGTTCATTTTTTTTTGTCCATGGCTGCTGTACGTCATTGGCCTCTCTATCAGTTAGACATTAAGAATGCTTTTCTCCACGGTGATCTTGAGGAAGAAGTTTATATAGAGCAACCACATGGTTTTGTTGCTCAGGGGGAGTTTAATGGTTGTGTGTGCAGATTGCGCAGATCATTATGGTTTGAAACAGTCCCCTCGAGCTTGGTTTGGTAAGTTCATCACAATTATTCAGGAGTTCGGCATGACCCGTAGTGAGGCTGATCACTCTGTGTTTTATCGGCATTCTGCTCCTAATCTGTGTATTTATCTAGTGGTTTATGTTGATGATATTGTTATTACTGGTAATGATCAGGATGGTATTACTAATCTGAAGCAACATCTCTTTCAGCACTTCCAGACTAAGGATCTGGGCAGATTGAAGTATTTTCTAGGTATTGAGGTCGCTCAGTCTAGCTCAGGTATTGTTATTTCACAGCGGAAGTATGCCTTAGACATTCTTGAGGAGACTGGAATGATGGGTTGCAGACCTATTGACTCTCCTATGGATCCGAATGCTAAGCTTCTACCTGGACAGGGGGAGCCTCTTAGAGACCCTACGAGATATAGGAGGTTGGTTGGCAAATTGAATTACCTCACAGTGACTAGACCTGACATTTATTTTCTGGTAAGTGTTGTAAGTCAGTTTATGGATTCTACCTGTGATAGTCACTAGGATGCAGTTGTTCGCATTCTTCAGTGTATAAAGTCAGCTCCAGGCAAAGGATTACTATTCGAGGATCGAGGCCACGAGCAGATTGTTGGGTACACATATGTTGATTGGGCAGGATCACCTTTTGATATACGTTTTACGTCTGGATATTGTGTTCTAGTAGGAGGTAATTTGGTCTCGTGGAAGAGTAAGAAACAGAATGTAGTTGCTCGATCTAGCGCCGAAACCGAATATCGGGCCATGGCTATGGCGACGTGTGAGTTAGTTTGGGTCAAACAGTTGCTCAAGGAGTTAAAGTTCGGAGAAATCAGTAAGATGAAACTAGTGTGTGATAACCAAACTGCTCTTCATATTACGTCAAATCCGGTGTTCCATGAGAGGACTAAACACATTGAGATCGACTGTCACTTTGTCAGAGAAAAAATACTTTCAGGAGATATTGTTACAAAGTTTGTAAAGTCGAATGATCAACTAGCAGATATTTTCACTAAGTCACTTTTTGGTTCTCGTATTAGTTACATGTGTAACAAGCTCGGTACATATGATGTGTATGCACCGGCTTGAGGGGGAGTGTTAGTTTACAGATATGTATAGTGTAGTCTTGTCCCACATTGGAAGAGGAGTAATATCTCCTTGTAGTGTATAGCTATAAATAGGGACCTCTTGTATTGTATTTATCATCCAATATCAATAACATATTTTCTCCCGTGCCTTCTCACATCACTGAAATGAACTAAAGCATTTGATAGGTTTACACGTGAATGAACTCATGATTTTTGTGAAACTTCTGCAGAATAGTTAAAGATCATATAGATGTATCTAGGGAAGAGCTTAATTGTGCAGCTATGTATATTTTATGTTTTAGTGGTTCAAAAATTGCTTTGTGTTTTTCGCTATACGGCAGTAGAATTTTGGTTCAATTGTTTAGTGGTTACTTCAATAAGCTGGAATAATACACGAACTTTTGTCCTTCACTAAGATGATTTAACTCTTAGAAGCTAACATCATATTTTCTCACTGACATCTTCTTGAGTTCTTCTCCTCTCATAGGTTGCCCGTGGTGACAATGCTGGAGGAGAATCCATCCCAATGCTTCTGAGAGTTCCTCGGGTATCAGATCCTTACGGTGGCTATGATATGATTGGCTTTGGGGACATTCTCTTTCCTGGTTTGCTGGTTTGTTTTGCTTTTAGGTATCCCTTTGTCCTTCATCCATCTTGCAAACAAAAGTTTTTACCCTCTCCCAAAAATGAAAAAGAACTAAGCACATTGTCTAGGTGAAACAAGAAGAATATTCCTCTGTGTAGTTGTTTTCTACCTTTGCTCTTCGAGGATATTCAGATGTTATATGTTTATAGATAGGTTGAATAAAAATGAACTGTAGTCACGCGTCTTTTGATAATTGCCGATCTGTGTTCTCATATAAATTCTTCTTATTAGTTATGAAAATATCTCTCTAAGTATCTTATTGAAGAGAGAAAATGGTTCCTATGACAGTGATTAAAATTGAAATTAATATTGGGAAAATGTATTGGATCTAGAGCTGAAAGATGTTTTCAATGCTAGGGTTGCTCACTTTAATGAGTCGACTACCTTTTTCCTTTTACAGAATTAACGTCATTTAATATCCTTTCATCTGATAAATCACTTTCTTTCTAGAAAAGGCAATCGAACCTCCTGTTAATCCTCTTTGCTATCTTTTTTGCAGATTTGACAAAGCTAGAAGGAAGGGTATACTAAATGGATACTACCTCTGGATGATAGTTGGTTATGGAATTGGTGGGTACTTTGAAGTATTATTTCTGTCTGTTTTTAGCTACTTTGCTAATTTTGTTCTCCATCCCTTTTGTAAATGATGTTATTCAGTTGCTTGAAATCATTAACACTTTGGTAACACGCAACTGAATAAAAAGTGTGAAATATAAATATGTCTTAAAGCACGTTTTAACGAAATCAAAATCATTGTTGACAAGTAGAGATCCTGAAACCTGTTATTCTTTTCCTTTTAGCACTTGTTTTAAATTTCCTCCCCTACTCATTCTGTATCCTATTCCAAATCAACTTGGAATTCTTGCAGGTCTTTTATTCACATACTTAGGTTTGTATCTAATGAATGGACATGGTCAACCTGCTCTTCTATATCTCGTGCCCTGCACGCTAGGTATGTCAGTTTTACGGCCTCTTGAACCAAAATTTGTGTTTGGTCTTTATATATCTTTTTTTTGTGTGTGTTTTTTAACCTTTAATCTTTAGGAACTTATGTGGTGCTGGGATTGATGAGGGGCGAACTTAAAGACCTATGGAACTACGATAGTGAATCAACAAAAGTTGCAGACTCACTATTGGAAGATGCTTGATAGATGAGAGAATTAAACATTAAATCTACAGACACTGATAGATGGGAGAAGAAATATTAAATCTACAAGCACAAGCCGTTGATGTATTCTTTCCATGCTATTTGTATAAGCTGTTCATAAAAATTCAAACTTTATTCAGGAAATTCTTGGCTGTGTTTTATATGTATATTTCCGTTCATGACAATGTTCTCTCTTTCACCTTTAGTTTCCACTGCAGCTGTTCTTGATTAGTATGTACAACTTCACAGTAATCATACAAAAGAAGAGAAGTTATAATGTAACAGATTTAGTAGTCAAAATTTTCCCTATTGTTCTGCAAATTGCTGTTTGATCATCTCATTTATTGTCCCCTAAACTGCTTTTCATTTGAAACATCTTGTTATTTGCCGATTGAATTACTTTTCATCCACAGTACATACTCTTCGAGTAGCTATTTGTATCGTTTTCTGCAGTTTTGTTTTTTCAGTTAGGCAGTGGGTAATTAGTTTCTTTGCTCTGCAGTTAGAGACAAAATAGTTTATCGATATAATCCTAAAGGGGAGACTGAATTTGCTGCAATAATAGTTTGAACTCCTCTCATTATGTCGATATAAACCTCCATTTCCTTGCCCTTTTTCTCAGAAAAGCTATTTGCCCTGGGTCTTTTGTCTAGCGATAACTGTTAAGAATATAGTATGTGATGTGGGGAATAAGTGCATTTCACAGGCTTGAACCTTGCCACAAATAGAAGTCTGGTATTTACGTAAAAAGGCAGACATATTATCCACTGAGTTTCAAATCGTGAGTTATTGGTCCTCGAGAATTTTTCGATTATTTAAGAAGAGAATTGAAATCTATTCTCCAACTGGAGCTTGAAGCGAGCAACGCTTACTGGAATTAAGAAAAGTATCAAACATTTATGAGTTCAGTTCAATACAAATTAAGTTGTAATTAAAATAACTACTTTTGGCATCCAGTATACAGAAATACCGATATTAGTCCAACCCAAAGTTGAAATTATTCTTGTTAGAATCACTTTGTGCACCATTTGTTGAAGCACAAACTCATCTAAAGCACATGACTTAACTCATATTCCTTCCCGTCCATAATAAGTGATCATTTGCTCTTTGGCACACTCCTTAAGAAAATAATAACTCCTAAAAAAAAATAGGTATTTTGACTAAATTACCCATAATTAAAATTTACATATTGTTAACTTGACATACTGGGATATGTAAATAAAAGCAAATTTTGGAAAAACAAAATTAATTCATTCTTGATTATATAAAAGGTCACTTATTTTGGACCAAAATAAAAAGACAAAAAATGTCTCTTATTATGGACCGGAGGGAGTATTAAGCAGTAACCCCTACTAGCTACTGCTGCCCATGTTAGCTCTCTGCTTTACATTTGGAGACATGTCTTCAAAAAACCTACAACAGATGAAGTCATGCTTTAATGCATATACCGATTATACATGTCCAAAAATGAGATTGCTCACATATATATTTTTTATTATTATTAAAAAAACCCTCCCAAATTAGGAGGATCTATAGTGTTTCCACACTTTCCCTCCAACGTTACTCGAACCCAGGACTTAACGGTCGTGGGTGAAGGTACAAATGATGAAATCATGCTGACTTTAGAGATCAAGATCTAAAGATGTGGCTTAATGGTCAATAAAGTGGATGCAAACCTTAGAGATCAGGATTAAAATTTAAGCGGAGGCAAAATCACTAAATATATTCCCATCTCTTTAAGACTCGATGGTTGGATTTACCCGATACCTTTGCATGTGAGAGGTGTAGTAGACGGAACCAGAATTTGAAGTTACCGGTTCGGAATTCTACTCTTTTTGAGTTACTGAATTCTAAATTAATAATTTATACATATTAAATAAATTTCTTAAAACAAATATAAAATTTGGATCAAAATTACTGGGTTAAGCCAAACCCACAAGTCCACAACACAAAGGCTTGCTTCGGCCCTGAGTAGGTAACTGATGGATAGTCAAGCCGCGCGGGAGCTGATCGCAACACCACCATTATAAAAAAAATCAAAAATCATAAATGAGGATGGACCAAAAGAATGATTTCAGAAATATAATCTAATGTGATTCAGAAAATTAATTTGCGAGGTAATGACAAAATGAGTTTTGAAGAACTTAACAACAACAACAACAACCCAGTAAAATCCCACTAATGGAGTCTGGGGAGGGTGGTGTGTACGCAGACCTTACCCCTACCCGAAGGAATAGAAAGGCTGTTTCCGAAAAACCCTCGGCTCAAAAAAAAACAAAAAGACAAAAGGGACAAAAAGGAAAACAATATTAGTATCATAACAACGTTTTGAAGAACTTACATTTCCATAATTCTCTTCCTCTTATCACTGCAAATGTAGGAGCTAAGCTGTTCAATCCCCATATTGGAAAAAGTGTTGTCTAAATCACGATTTAACAAATTACATATATCTAAATTTGCAGAGGACTCAGCTGTACCAGGTGTAATAGAGAGATCTTCAAGTTTCCCTTTAAGATTCTTAATCAAAATAAAACCTGCCAAATAGATATTATGAGAAAATAATAAAGAGATCAAACTTCACTTGAACCTTTATAATAAAAAAATCTCCGAACGTCAGTAGCGCACGGTAAAATATGAAAATGCCCTTTTACCCTAATTCACTTAAATATCAGGTTTTTGTATGCACTGCATTATGAAACAGTCACACGCGTCTAATTCACACATCATATGTTGCGCTCTTACCACTAAATACTGGGGGCTTTCACTTAAAATGATGTAAAAATATTATCATTTAAGATAAGAATTACTTTACAAAATATCCGGAGCTGACACATAAATTTCTTTTTTTAAAGGAAGTAACAATTAATCTGGAACAAAACTAGATAAATAATTCAACAATTTATACAGCAAACAGCAAATATTTCACCAATTTTTCACTAGTGCAAGCTTCAATATAACCAATAAATTTTGTTATAAATTCTGGAGAATAAGAAAAATTGTTAGCTAAAGAGTCGTGGCCAATTTTTTGGGCACGTTGTTGTATCAACACTTTCAAACCTATTAATAAATCCTAACAATTCAACCAAATAAAACCTAAGATATATCACCCAAAAATAAAAAATAAACACACACACACACACTGAGAGAAAACTTACAAGTTCAGACTCGGTTAAATAACAAAGCCATCGGACATCTTCAATCCTATTATTCCCTAAAACACCCCTTTCTTCTTTCATCTTAATTGAAAAATTGTCCGAATTTAGGGGGAAAAAAAGAAAAAGAAATTAGTAGAAGAGAGGTTACACCTCTAAAAGCAATGTCGAAATCATATCACGTAGCCACCGTAAATGGCTGTTATTTAAGAATTAATTATTTCAATTTTTCAGGATAAAAAATATCCTTCATTGTCCTAAAGTTAAATTTTTTAGTTTAAAATTTTAGGACAAAATAAATACTACTCCTATTTCAAAAGTACTTAACATTGACTGTGAATTTGAACATAGATTCTTCAAGTTTTTGAAAATAAAATTTATATTTTCGAAAACTACATAAAAATATTATAACTCATATTAATTCATAACTTAAAATATTTATAAAAAATATGGTCAAAGAAGAGCGTCTTAGACTTCCCAAATAGTAATCGTGTCAATCTTTTGAAAGGGAGGGAGTAGTTAAAGATTTGTGCACTTGCCCCTTAAAGATTTGCATTAGTAACCTTACCAGTCTTGTTTGGATTTCCATGTAACAATTATTTTAACTTATTTATTATGGTTATTAATATAATAAAATAATTACGACCTGACTAATTTATCTTTTTTGTGTCTTTCATAAAATTAATGAACTAATAAAAGGAGTGCAATATTAGAAAGGATTAATGATAAAGAATTAAGATAAGCGTTATCGATCTTCAACCCATAAGCGGCCCCTAAAGTTGGCTTTGTTTTTTATTTTGCCACTTTTACTTCGATCTTTTTTATTTTGACACTTCAACTCATTCTCTCATGTGCCACTTAAACACAAAACGATGACTTATCACATTGTGATTTGCACCTCTTTTGAGCTCGTGGAAAGCTGAAATTTTTTTACTTTTAAATTTTTTATCTTTCTGCTTCCTCCTTCCATCTCCGCTACCAATTCCGCCGTCAACACCACCAACACCACTTTTTCAAAAGCTGAAAGATAAAAAATTAAAAAATAAAAAAAATTCAGCTTTCCACGCACTCAAAAGAAGTGCAAATCACACAATGTGACAAGTCAGCGTTTTGTGTTTAAGTGGCAATATGAGAGAATTAGTTGGAGTGTCAAAATGAAAAATGTCGAAGTAAAAGTGTGAAAATGAAAAGTGAAGCCAACTTTAGGGGGCATTTATGGGTTTGGCCTTTATTTTTTGAATCAGAATTAAGAATACTGCTTCCTTCCAAATAAACAGGAGATCGATTTTTACTGTTTGGGGTTGAATAACACAAACTTTCGAGAAAAAATTGGCAATCCCCAGCTTTTTATCCAAACTCCAGTCAAATGTAGACTCAGAAATAGCCAGTATGATTAATTTGAAGGAATTTATGGAGTCCCTAGAAAGAAAGAAAAAAAGAAAGAAAGAAAGAAAGAAAGAGTGCCTTTGAAAGGGCAAAATCAAAGAACTATTCAAAATGATGAACAAATAAAGCTATGATTTTCCTCATGAGTTACACATCAAAGAATATGAAATGTTTTTTACAATAAGCAGCAGTGCTAATTGCACAAAACCTCTGACATGAGAAACACCTACTAACCCAAAAATTGACCAATAAACGAAGAAAGGAATGATAGCTGCAAAGAGGCATATCTTTCTTGGTAGGCTGTAACGAGTATCTGATGGAATAGCCAAGGTGCACGCAAACGGCCCTGACACCACACTTTGCCTCATAGCCCAAAGAACCACAATGTACAAATGGATATGATATCAGACTAACCACTCGAAACATACAGAGTTGGCAACTCATTCAAGCCTCTCTCCAATAGTTCTTGAATGAATGGAACAACCAAAGAACTTGAAGCAAATTGAATTTTCATGAAGCAACGGTCGTTGATTCCTTCTCCATTTTCTCCTTATCAATCTCTACTCTTCTCTGCTCAGCATGCTGAGCAATGCTATCTGCCAGCGCTTGATAATGGAAGTCCAAATTTTGGGTGAGGCTCTGGTACCTCAATTGATCAGATGCTTGCATTGCTGGATTCAGACGTCCCGGGGAGGAGGGGTAGAAATCAAGTCAGTACATTGCCTAATACCAACCTAAAAGCACTCCTGATATCAGTTAAGCAGAGGAGAAGCAGCAGCATACCTTTGATAGTTTCCATAAAGAGAATGAATGGGTCCTCGTCAATAGCACGGAAAGCCTTTGCCTGCAAAGCATGTCAAGCGCAGAAGAAATGATAACCCTAACAGGATAACGTTTTTATCACACCTTTAAAGGATTGCAATAGTACAGGTCCGCTATTATTCTTTGTTCAACATAAACAAGACAGTCAAGTCATAGCCGACTACAAGTCCAAAAGAAAAAATAGATACACTGTTTTTTTGAATTTTTAAAAGATACTCTATTTTTTTATGATTTTTTAAAAATAGATACTCTAAATAGAGGACACAGATACCTATACTTTTTGAAGAGCACCATTTTAAAGGTACTCACCTGCGCAGCCAATTTTATAATCCTATTGCTGTCAGCTTCATCTCCTTCCTCGGTTTGCAATCCTCCATCCATGTTATCATCATCTTCAGCTTCCTCTTCGTTAGCAGCTTCCGAAAACAATCATAAACTAATTAGATGAAAGTGGACCACAAGATTCAATGATATTATGTGGAAGGTGGGAGGTAATAGAGGTTTAACCTGCTACTTGATCCTTATAGACAACAAGCAGATCAAGAATCGCTTTGAAAATACGCCCTAAGGTTTCCTCTGGCAGTTGATCTGCCGGAAGAGAGAGTAAAGATAGCAAGCCCAAGCAGCAAACCTTCTTGTCATGTTCCCTGCAAAACCAATATAACAGGTGTTAGAAGTCCTGTTCTCCATTTTGCAATATCTCTCCTTTCCATCCAAACAGAAAGCAAGAAGGCTTACCTTTTAAAGTTAACCTGAGCTCCACTTTTTTTAGTTTGTCCCAACATCTCAAACCAAAGATTAAAGATCTCTGTAGCAACACCAAGCTTTTGAAGTATGTTGAGTGTCATGGACCCATTGTAATAAAGAGTAACAGCAATCTGCCAAAGGAAAATCATCAAAGAATGGAACATTAGAAACAAATAGTTAGAACAATTAAACTTAAGTGATCTACTACACACGGTCCATAAACCATTACTCCCGGTACTTGAATACTTCACCTCGTATTATATACAATCAGAAGCAGAGTGCAGTCAAGTGCAGAAGAGGTGATAACTCCAATATACATCTTTACACTTCCCAACATTTAAATAAGTAAAAAATTATCTATTACCTGCATTCGGCTCGGTTAATATAGACTCATATATGCACCCGAAGAAATCATCCAAAGTCTTATCATTTTTATCTTAAGTTCATGTAGAAGTTAACAAGTTAGTGCAGGGCCTCATTTGGAAATTCCTCGGTTTAGATGAATTGTATTACCACTTGGATCAAGAGGCACTTCAGATATGGTTTCTCAGTTTGACGAAGACGCTTGATTGTTATTCTGATATATGGCTCAACCCAATGATCTACCTGTCCCTTGCTGTTCTGGAATAGAACTTGGATAAGCTTTGGTGCTGGCTCAATGATCCCATCCTCCAAACTCTCATCTCCCATGACCTGTTCAAAAATTTAAAGCAGTATTACATATTTTAATCTGCCTCACTCGAGCAGGGCCAAACTGCAGTGTCAATATTCCACTTACAGATGAAATCATATTCCAAAGACTTTGTTGGTAGTCTGGATCTTTGCATGTTAGGAAGTGGGCAGTGCTCCTGGATATATAGTTGTCTAAAGAAACCAGAATATCTGCAAAAATATAAATCCAAAAACAGTCAAGGGAACTAGATCAGGTAATGGAAGAAGAACTGTACTTTTCAACAACAACAACATACCCAGTATTATCCCATATCGTGGGGTCTGGGGAGGGTAGTGTGTACACGGACCTTACCCCTACCTTGTGAAGGTAGAGAGGTTGTTTCCAATAGACCCTCGGCTCAGGAAAACATAAGAACTGTACGTTTCTGTTGCATATAAATGATAAAGCATTTACTATCCAGTGAAAAGACAAAGAACATGCCGCATTCTGCAGCACCAAGCATCTCTAACAGAAGAATTCACCAAAATATGTTAAGCACTACAGTATTGGTGCAGCAGCAATACAAGAACATAACGACAAAAGCCTTTGGAGAAATTTTAGTTAGCAGCCAAGCCAGATATGTTGTTTTTGTAAAGTGACAAGCAGCTCTGACAGTTGTTTCATGTGAAAAAGTCAAAGTCGGAAAGTGTGTGGAATTTAGAAAAGCAAAATTGCTTGACCTAACATATATAAATTACACATTCTCAAAGGATAATATAGCAATAATTGGGTTTTCATTTTCGGTAAAAGCATAAAGGCTGATGAGCAAAGCAAGGGTCTCAGCTGCTTTATAATTCTTATGACTCAAACCATTTAAAAGAATGACATTGATTTCGAAAGGGGAAAGCTCAAGAAGTATCTGCCTTAGGATATCAATTTAGCCTCAAGTGGTCTAGTGCAATATTTTTAAAAGCGAGAAGCGCGAAAAAACGACAAGATCCATGGAACTTGAAGCAAAAAACATGCTTTTTGAAGTGAAGCGCATAATTTACGAAAAATTAAAAATTACCTGACATGAATTTAGTACTATAATCTTACTTTACCTATCAAAAAAGAAGTACTATAATAATCAAGTTGTAATTAAATTAACTAGTTTCGGCTTTCAACATATATAATGCCGATATTAATCCAACTCCTCAAAGTTGGGATGCAACGTACGCACACTTCTTGTTTGGATCACTTTTTGCATCACTGTTTGAAGTGCATGGTTTCACGCATGAACTGATAAACGCTATCTTCATAATACTGGTCTGACAGTTGATGAATCTTCAATGGAGATCATTGGAGACCAGTGTCTGGTAGAAGAGGCAAAAAAAGGTGATCGTTTCCCATCTGTCTAAGTCTTGGTGGGCGAATTTACCAATACCTGTCCTGGTGGGAGCATGCATCATTGGTGAATAATCGAGCTTCGAGCAAGCTGGACATTACTTAGTTCTACAACTGTGACATCATGCTTTCAAAGTTAGGGAGAATAAAAGGTGCCCGCCAAGATGACCCTTCCTTGAAAGGGTGCTAAAACAGCAATTACCGAACCATCTATTATGGATTGCAGTTATTTGCATCACCAACACCCTTCCCAACCCATTAATTAAAAGGAGGAAAGCCAGAAAGAAAAAAGTAGAAAGAGGAAAGAGAAGAGTACAAATAAGATGCATGAAAGCCATCCAAATTGACAATGCCTACCAGCAACTATAAAAACAAAGACAAAAAGCTTCTCATCCATGAAACTTCGATCTATCACATGCTACCCTTTGATAGAGATGATTATTCTTTCTCGAAACTTTAAATAATCATCATGCGACTTAATAGATCATAAAATGACTTCCAAGAAACCTGTTGAAGATCTAAGAGTAGCTAGTGTCTCATAGCAAATATGCTACCACCAATAAAGGGAAGAGAAACCCCATTAAAACTACCAATCCAACAAAATAGAAAATATCGCCCTACCCAACAGCAAAGTACAAGTGATATATTTTGGACATACTTGGAAAGAAGTCAATAGCCCAGTCTAGAAGTGCTTCCATCATTAATGGCCAAAGACTCCACATTTCCATGGATATTGTTGGCGGGAAAAATGTCATAAATGAGACAATTTCCGTAACTTCTTTGAAGATCTCTGCAGGAACATGAATCAGTGAGAAGGGAGACATACTTTTTCCCTAGAGGTTTACAAAGGTATCTAATTTGTTTCAAGATGAGGACTCACAGTTCGAACTACGTTCTGCAAACATATATGACTTAGGATACGCTCAGCCCAGATTTGTCACATTTTTACTAAAATTTCGCTGAACAAATAAGAAAGCAGAGAAAGATTGATTCACCATGTTCTCCTAAGCAGATAGAGTGGGAATGAAGGAATGCTCCCTTTTGTTTTAATCGAGAAGGAATGCTCACTTATACCTTAGTTAAACTAAACTTTAGTTATTTTTTTAATTGGAACAGTTTTTAGCTTTCACATTCTATCCTTCAAAAAAATAATTAACTTTTGGCATGATAGTTGTAGTCATTCCAGAGATTAACATTTCAAAAATGTAATTTAAAACACATAAAAAGTAAACAGAACTTTTCCACTTCCCCTTCATTTTACATAGAGGAAGTGAAAAGAAAAAAGAGAGCAAAATCACTTTCATCTTGACCCACTTACCTTAAGAAATAGGACAGAGAAAGCATATTGTATCTTCATATCCTCTTTGCTTTCTCTCAAACCAAAATGCACTTCTTAAACTTCTCTTCCATTTTCCTTCTATTTGCCTTCGCCCTAACAAAAAACGAAGTTTGGCTGATGGCATCAGCTAATGTCACAGCACGACTTCAAGGACAATGGATTTTGTCCATTATACTATGTAGGACATATTGCTGAAATCTAACTTACAGAATTCGGAAACTTTAACTTCAACCAAATGCTTTTGTCCTACTAAATAGCAAAAAGTTAAACAAGCTCAACAAAGACTAAAGCACCTTGTCCATCAGTAGTCAGCATCCTACGCATTATTGGGACAAGTGTCGGCTCAATGTGAACAAAGAGGTGTGGCAGATGGCTAATTGACTCAATGATTGTGCCTATGGCTCGCAAACATCCAAATGCAACCGGAGAACCAGGATCATCACCATCGTCATCATCTTCAGCCGTGTTAATATATTTCCAAAATGCAGCAGCCTAAAAAGAACAACTTCTATTAGATTCCACTGAGCAAGATATCATTTGCATTCAAATTCCTCTAATAACATATACTCTCACCAGATTATGGCATAACCGATGAGCATAAGGAGCCATCTCCACACCAAACTTGTACACAATAGTCTCAAGGGTAAATACAACATCGCCATTCTCAACTTCATTCATTAGTTTGTAAATTTCTGAATGCGCTTGTTGTGAAAAGATTGTTTAACGAAATCCATCAAGAGATGCTTAAATTTTTTATTTTTTACGAAATGAAATAAAAATTTAGCACATACCATCTAGTAGTTGAGGAAGAATGTGCCGGATTTCATTCAAATCTGCGAGGATAAACACATGGCCAAGTCTAAACAGGGCTCAGTGAGATAAATATAAGAGATGATAGTGTCAACTAAATGTTACCTCTGCACGCATCAACAAAGGTACGTAAAGCACAAACAGAATCAACACGAACTGGGAGGTCAGGGTCATGCACTCCAGCCACCACAAAGTGTAACGCTTTCCGGAAGTTATTTGGATCTGAGAAGTTTAAATGGGCATATTCTCCAGCAATCCAAGCTGCCTAATATGGTAGAAAGATTAAATAGCTTAATGCAGTGACGCTACATCCAAATCAGTTTCAAAATTTAGAAGGAAAAAGGAGGAAATGGCATATCCCTATCTGAAATAAGAATTTGTTCAAAGATGAGGAATAAGTCAAGCATCAACCTTCATTCATAAATTGAAAAAGGAGCAGCAGCAACATGGGTTTAACATTACAAAAGGAAGCAGCTACCAATATTTAAATGAGTTAATTAGTGTACATTGGTTCCTTGAGCTATCGAGGCTTTGTAAATATTTTACAATCAGACAAACAAAGAACAATGGAGTCAACATTGCTTGAAATAGATATCAAGATAGTTAAGCTGTATAAAAGGACGGCATTGAACACAGATCATACGCTATTCATTTCACCATAAAACTTATCACATCGGACTCTCATGGGGAGGATCGGTGAAGATAAGAAAGTATATGTTATCGTTCAGTATATGCCTCTCAATTAACTAAGGGAATCAGAAAGTGACAGAACGAACAACTTATCAAGGAGGATACAAAGTGCATGTTAATCAAGAAATAGGCAACATATCCTACACACCTTGGCTCGAAGATGGCCCACGGGACAGCTGAACTCCGGGAAAACATGCTGTACAAGCATAAGCTCAAGATCAGACTTGTATGGTTCAGTATGTTTTAGTTTGTAACATAGAGTTCCAATTGCAAAAAGGGCTCCATCTTTCTGCCTATAGGGCTTGTATTCTGGAGCTGCCTCCTCATATCTAAATTATGAAATTGTCAAAAGATAAATGCAAAGGTCTGTTATCATGAAACTTACTATAACTGAAGGAATGTTGAAATATACATGTAAAGTATGAAATTGTCAAAATACATAAGGTTTGTTATCATCACATGTTGAACTGAGTTAACTAAAAATATTGAAACATACCTCTTAAAAATTTCCACAATGAACAGCATAAATTTTTGAAGGTTCTTTATACCACGCTTTCTCACTAACTCGGTTACAAAATCCCTCGCAGCAGCTCTAGGACTATATGAATCCTCAATTACATCTGCAGAATTGTAGTGAGGAAAGTCATTGTATAGTGACAAAACTCAGTCATGTTCTGCTGAGATAGTGGTATATATCAGAAAACAAATCAATTACCATAACTCTTCCTCACATATTCATGAGGATCTTCCTCCCAAAGCTTTTGATCATTATCATTGAAGCACATAAGTGGAAATATGATCTCAAAAAGAACAATATCAAGTCGTGGTTGCAACAAGATGTACATGTTACTCTTGGAGATGCTGCCAGTAAAAAGCAGAATGAAATAAGCATGCAAAGGAACGTAAAAGCAATAGTCTCCTATCAGATACCAGAACTACAAAGAAGAAAAAATATCCAGAAAGTTAGACAGGCGAAAAAGATAGTGCCAGAGGAACAAAACATGAAGTGACAGAACAGCGGCAGTAGCATGTCCCTAAAATTGAAAACTAAAACCAAGGCTTCATTTCAATGATTAGTTACCTATTAGAAACCTAAATCCATAGAGATAATTTATAAAACTGAAGAAGTGACAAATTTGGCATATGGTGGTAAAAGAGCAAAAACATAGTTTTCCAAAAATACCAGGTCTTAGATTTTCCAAAGACTTCCAAGCACAAAATCATATTAAACAATGCCTCTAACATATGGCACCCTGAAATTATGTTCCAGTTTATGAACCAAAAACTAGTTTTCTTCTCAGCATCCAATACATTACAAAGTGACTAACGGACTTAGAGAGTTGTTTATTCTCGTCAAGAACTCACCTATCTAAGACTTCCCATCCATAAGTTTGGCATTTTATGTGATGTAGTTTGAGTAATAACAAAGTTAAATAAAGTAATATGCCTTTTGCGCTGCATCAATGAGTGTGCAAAAATACATTAATTAACGTCCAGTAAGTTAGTTTCTATTCTTCTTCTTTTTTTGATAAAGAAATGAAACAAAGTTGATTAACGTCCGGTAAGTTAGTGTGATAGAAAGAGCATCACTTGGCTGTCTAGCGGAAGGTAAGTTAGTGCAGTGAGAAAAAATACCTCATTATCTTTTATTTGTTTAAATGCTGGATAGAAATGAAAATGTATACATTAATTTGTGGATATATATCATTTTAAGATGTCCCAAAAACATAAACTGGTGAAGGCGTATCTGATCTCTCAGTACTAGTGTTACAATCCTGGAGATTTCCTTGGTAGAAACTTTGGGTAGAGAAACCCTTTCTAAACTAATTTATATCCCTTTTTCTTGATAAAGAAACTAATTTGTGTCCCTTTGTACTACATTCTCATTGACTAGGGTCTCTCTCTAAATTACAACTGAAAAACCTCAAAGAAGTAGCTTTACTCAATTACAAATGAGCTTTATGTCATTTCTTAAGACCTACACCTGATCACCACATCTTATATTTTTCTTCCTGAAAAATTAACACCAGAGCACTCAATTTTAAACATTGACTAGTATAAAGAAATGGATATTTACTTTACTTTTTCTGTAAGGTAAATAAATGAATATTTCCTTAATATACTTGAAACCTACAATAGACAACATGGTGTGGCTCACAGCAAAGCTAGATGTAAAAGCTAGAAATCTAATCATGTTACTAGCATTTGATGCCATTGTCTCCTTTCCTCAGTAAAAAGACTATCTTTTTTTTATAACAGTGGTATCCGGGCCAGCTTGCGCGCAACTCGACTAATTCCACGGGATACATGCTACCTCCCACCTGTTGACCAGCAACAGGTACCAGGTAACTCTACTAACGAAGGCTTGGACATATGGGAAAGAATCACCTAGTATTTTTCACCCTGAGATCTCAATCGTTCTAAATCCACTTCATTGACCACTAGGCCATACGTAAAAAGACTATCTTATCAAGGGGAATAATCAAGGAGAGGTTTTCAGATGGGCACGCATTATATAGTTAACTGTGGTTCATAAAGCAAGAAGCAGTTTGCACAAACCTATTGCTTAGATATTGCAAAACGAGGTGGGTCACTCTATCAGGCAAATAACAACCGCCACGTAAAACATTCAACAAATTAAGGTGACATTCAAAAAAATTCCCAGCATAATTCTCCTGAAACGTTTGAGCTTCATTGTCTGGGGTTTGAAGTTTCACATCTCCAAACCTGGGATATACAGAGAAAAAAATTGGAAGAGTTAGGAAACAAAAGGTGTTAGATAATATTAGCAGTAAGCCATAAATTGCAGTGTCAAGTAAGTGTCATTCTACCACAAGGAAAGTCGATTTAATATGCGAACAATCCACTTTTTCACCTTCCACCATTCCCATGATTTCCTTATCTCAGGATCAGTTGGTTGGCCTACCAAAGGAACGGGCCTCTCCAATATATTCAGAAAAAGAACTAGCCAAGCATTGAATACATTTGGATCAAACAACTTCTTTGGAATCTCCAACTGAGAAAACGGTTTAAGATGGAAAAGATATTCTCAGGAGCCAATTTAGCTATCTCATCGGCACTGAAATCAATAACCAGAACTCACATTGTTTATGCAAGCCAGGTTAAATCTGTCTATTATTAGCCAGATCAAAAATTTATCATGCCTTAAGAAGATGAAATAAATTGCAAATTCAAACAAACGCCCTACAATGATCACATGCTTCTTCAGTCAGATATTGTAAAACAGCAAGAAACATTAATCATAATGTTCTTATAAGAGAACTGAAACATATCCAACTTGATGGATTAAAAAATTGAATAGAAGGAAGACCGGCTCCCTTCTCTACAAATACAGAAAAACCAAAATTTCTGACGTTACCTCCAAATATATTCAGTAAAGTTGATACAACTAGCACTGCAGAAAAAAGTGAACTAATAGGAGCGTTGAGCTTAAAACAATTTAACCCAAACATACATATATAGATGACCAGAATATTTTGCAGATGAGCTTGATCAACTCCGCTACTTCAATTGACGGATTCGCTATCTGAACAAGCCTGTTAAATATACTATGAAGATGTGGAAATGTTTCCTCAACAATGTGATAAACGGGTGTCCTCTCCTCATCTAATCTGCATCTGGCAAATAGATACAAAACATGAGAACAGCAGAAGAGACAACATACTTTCACCAATCCAGTAAAGGATGGTTAAGAAGAAAGTTTCGCATAATAAGCTTTGCTTGAACAGCCACACAACAGAACCCGCTAAACAGTTACACCCCTCCCCCACCCCCCCAAGAGCTTGTGAATGGCATAAATTTCTAATCGAACTTGTTGTGCCATTCCAAAAAGGTATGTATGTCAAATTGGATATACTTTATGAAGGAAATAGTATACTTTCATCACTTCACAACAAGGTATTTGGTTTTTCCACATCACTACAGCTACAAAATTTCCCCTCCCCTTGAGCCGAAATTGAGATACACATGTTCGAACACTCTAATTTATAAATAACTACAACAAAAGGCAAAAAGGGTTTCATCACAGAGTTGAAATGACAATGGAAGACTTTGGAACAAAGATATCAACTCAAAATTCAAATACAACAAACCATCAACAACCTCCCACCCAAACCCAAACCCCACCCAACCCAAAAAAGAAAAGGCAAAAAGAAGATAAAAAACATATGAACCTATACCATGTTTTGTTGTTGTCCAGTTCAATGGATTGTTAAAAGATGTAACTACAGCGTAGCCGATCACATCCAAGAAATTAAAGAGCTACTTTTATAGGTTCACTACCTGCAACCTAAACTCTATATATTTTTACAACAGTGCAAAGGTAATTGCCACTATAAGGAATGTGCTTTGCAGCCTATGTTCTAGTTCCATTTTGTTTCGCAGAACTTAATGATATGAAATGTTCCACCAAAAATGTAGGACTAATTTTACTATTCTTGCAGAGAACTGCAGATTGCATGTTTTGTTGGGCTTTTGTAGAGAGAAATAGTAACATGCATATGCACCTATATACATGAAATAGTAACATGCATATCTACCCTTTATACATGAACATTATTCCATGAAGACTTGAGAATACAAAGGAAAAGAGATTCAAAAACATAAAAACCATTTCCTGAAGCACAGACTTCACCGGGTTTCGAATCAGCAGAAAAATACTTAAGTACAGTTTGCATTAATAGCTTTTACACTGGCAAAAAGAAAGATAAGAGAGATTGTAAAGAAAGTGAACTCATTTGTATCACAGACTCACTCGTATTTCCTAGAAAGAATTCTCAGGACAAACAAGACGCCAGAAACTTGCTGGTCCAGTAAATTATGCTTCACCCAACGCAAAAGCGTAGGCCACTTCTCTGGATAGTCTGCATATATCATTGTCTTTAGGGATTCTCCCAACTGTACTCTGGTCACAATAACGAACATATCCGAATGTCAATGACAAAAGATTCATGCTTTGTCTCATCATATAGGAACTGTGTGCCACATAATAATTGCAGTTAAAATACTTGGAGCATACAGTCCCACGTGCATATAGACGCATCAGATGTCACATTATCAAATTAACAACTCATAGCCTATATCATTAGAGTGCTAGAATAAGAACATATAAAAGAAAATATACAGAACAATACATAAATGAGCCAACATACCTCAGCAATGAGGGAACTTGTGCAACAGAAATGAGAACATTTTGCCTCACCATTTCTTTATCACCTGGCAGAATTTTTGATTGCTCACCTACATTGACACAATTTCCTAGTAAGTATGAAAGTTAAGCTGCCACTTAAATGTAGCTTGAAAAATGCCAGAAAAATCAAAATTGCATGTAAAATCGAAACATCATCACATGTAGACAAAAAATTCCTATTCTAAGGTTTTAGAACAGATCATTACCAGGATCATGAGGCGACCAATTCTTTGCAATGAAGTTCTTATAAAGAATGCTAGCCACCTCCTGGACAGCCATGTCAGTAGACCCATCTACTATGATTTGCAGTAATCTCACCAAATGTTGGGGAGTGTATTGGAACTGCAAATAGAAGAGCATTCATTAATAGATAAATATTACCGTCCGATGTCTGACTAATTACTGCAGATTTAAATACCACGATAAAAGAGGAACCTCATGTAAATACCATGGAATAAGGTATGATCCTATTCATGGAGATTCCGTAACTATTCCAAAAATGAAAAGTTCGACACAATTGGGGTTTTTTTTGGAAATTGGAAGCAGTTACTAATTCATGATCTGGCATGTACAGAATGAAAACTTCATTCTCGATTCTACGAGAATTTTTATGAAAGCCTTTCATTTGCTTCTCTTCGTTGGAAGTTTGATTTTCCCAGAATGTATCCTAATTTTTGGCCTAATTCTTCTTCTGATGATCGATTCAATCTCTGATCAAAAAGCTCTAAGATTGTAAAACACTGATCAATTCAACCTCAAAAAGAAAGAAATGAAGAATAGTTTAAATTAAGCAATATAGTGCAATTGTCCAACTTAACTAGCTGCAATAATTGTTGAACTGAACTCTTTGACAAAAAGTAATGGAATCAGTGGAAGATGGAGTATACAATCAACAAGTTCAACTAAATCCAACATTTTCAACATGGAGTATAGATA